CCCCTGCAATTTTGCCAGCTTCAGCCTATTCCTCTCTGTGCTATCGGGTCGAAAAAAGCTTCATAATCGGTTAATTTGTTCCGGACTTTACAATAGACTAGAAACCTCCTCAGGGTGCTATGTTGGTGGTCCAGACCTGACTTAGCGCCCAGTCTTTACCTCGGTTTCAGAGCAACGCCTGGACTATATCTTGTAAAATGGCGACTAGTAGTGTGTTAAGGAAAGATATTCATGGTAGGCCCCATAAACAGTCTCTCTTCGTCTCAGAAGACAGTTTTAAAATTTGGCCAAGTGAATTAGAAAACCGAGCTTGAATTTTGTCGCGTGAATGGGACGCGCGTCGACATTTTGGAGAGAAATTCTTGAATTTGCCTACTACCTGCTACAGCAGTAGTGTATTGGGTAAGTGGTCATATTTTTGAATAAAGAAGAGAAAACTCGTTCTTTCTTATGCCTTTTTTTCCCTAAATCAGTGTTAGTATATACGTTGTCGAAAATTTCCATAAAGCGAATTGAATTTTAAGGTCGGTCATCATAAAAATGCAGACCGCAAACTGCATACTGGATAAGAAAATTAAATGGAATAATATTGCACATGTTAAAACTCCTCTTCCTTTCTCTTTTTGTTTCCAGCGATAAATTTTGTAAGTATAGCTGATTCCGCTGAGGTTCACTTCTCTGTGAATAGTAGTAGCCTGCCTGCAGGCCTCTGTCTCCCATTTCTACAACACTGAAAAGTCAACGGTCTGCACATTGATGCACAAGGGCTAGGAGTGAGCTGACATACTGCAATAATACAGTGAAAACTGTTTTATACATTAGTCAATTCCAACTCGTTTTACCACAATATTATTGTTAGTTCTCTTATCTCATAAACGAGCAGCAAATTTGTCAAAACATTATGAACTGCTTTGTATGCTTCTACCAATAAGGAACATTTTTTCGTGGCAAAAATGTACATACACTCAGCAACAACTGTTGATCACAAGGGCTAGAGATTCAGAAGCTGTTTTATCTCTAAACTTAGGCTCTAATTCCCAAGGCCAATTTTCTTTTTCTCCATTTGTTAAAGATTGAGTAAATGTTCGTGACTAAAGGACAAACAGAGTTAAATTGGTAAAAAAGCAGTGCACGTACCAGATAAACCTGCCATGTCAACGCGTGCAAGCAGTAAATGGACGTCGGGACTTGGAACTGACAATTTTGGACCTCGACAGTAGGCCTTTTGCATTAGTTGATTCTGTGATTAACTTTCAGTAAACACAGAAATAGTGTGCTTTTGAAAAATTTTCAGCTTGAGCTGAAAGAACATATGAAAATTAAGTAACCTGTAAAATTTCAACCATACATCTCAAAAGTAGCAACTGCAATGGCCGCCAAAAATTAGAAGGATTTGTATGAAAAAAAACAACTTTTGCCACCCAGTCATTTAAGCATTGAGGGGCTCAAATCTTCTTTCAATTCATAACAGGCACTTAAATGTGTAAGGGAAAGATTTAACGACAGTTTAAAAATGTTGGAATTTACAAGGAGTTGTTTGGAAAACCACTCAAGTATGACTGGGTGGCAAGAATTGTTTTTCTCATACAAATCCTTCTAATATTTGGTGGCCGTTGCAATAGCTACTTTCGAGATGTATGGCTGAAAATTTACAGGTTACCTAATGTTAATATGCTCTTTCAGCTCGAGCTGAAAATTTTTCAAAAGCACACTATTTCTGTGTTTACTGAAAGTTGATCACATGATCAACTGACACAAAAGGCCTATTTCTGGTTTTGCGATGGAGCTTATCTCTGGGCTTCCCTTAAAGGATGTTTCATTTGTTTTTGTTTATTTTTCTTTTTGGTGGAAGCAGACAATGCAGTTCACATTTGCCACTTGTTTATGAAATAAGAGAACTAACGATTGTGGTAAAATGAGTTTGGACGATGGCATGAAGAAGATCGGCCATCTTCCACCATTTTGGAATTTAAAGGTGAGTGTATTATTTAAGAAGTTAGATTATGTTGTCCTTTTGTATTGTGAAGTTTAATAATTTCCAGTGAATTGTGGAGGGGGTCAGTATGGGGTCAGTTGACTCAGGGTTAGTGTTTTGTCAACCCAATTTTATGTTTGCTTAATATTCATTTTTCTTTGTGGACCAAGATGCTTAAGGTAACCTTGCCTTTGCTGACTTCTGTGTTCACATTAAATATATGAATGCTATGCTTAATGTTTTTTTCTTTGATCAAGCAAAATCAAAACAATGACTCTGATTGCTTGTTTTGGCTCTGAAAGAGGCCAGTAGATTTTCTTTCTTAACAAAGAGACAATGTGATTCTGATTCCATGTAGCAAAGCGGCCATGCTGTGAGCACATAACGCTTGTTGGAAATTCATATATGTAAATATGCCTTTTACAATAGTGAGCTAACTAACTTGGGTCATATGACTAACTTTCTGCAAACACAAAATCACCATGTTAGGGAAAAAATTATTTTGGCTGGAATTGAAAGAGCATTTCATAATAAAATTAGTAACCTGTAAAATTTCAGCTCTGTATTTCAAAAGTTGTGGCTGTCTCGGCCACCAAAAATGAGAAAAATTTGTATGGGGAAACATGTCTTGCCACTCAGTCACAGTAGTATTCCATACATTCCTTGTGAATTTTTGAATTTTCAAACTGTCATAAAATCTTTTCCTTACGCATTATAGGCCTAAAATTTTCTTTAAGTCCATAACCGAAAAGCCCAGCTCAACTGCCTCTAGTTTCCTAACAGTTGCCGAAATGAAATAATCTTGGGCTAGGGAAGCCCCAAGTGCTGGAAGATCTGAGGGCTTTGTACAGCTTCCCCAGGATCAGAGGAATTTGGCAGTATTTTGAGTGAACTTTCTAACAAATCCCCACCTTTTCTTGGGTGGCGGAGGTGGGGTTTACATTGCCTCCTGCATAGCAGGTTATCAATAACAGTAACGTTTAATAGAAACAACTGTGCTTTTTTTAAAATCGAATTTGAAGGTGCAAGCAAATACAACCGTATTCACATTTTACGCTTGGGTGACTGCAGTTGAGAATGTTTTTGAGGACAATAGAATTGTTCAACCCAATTCTATTTTAGGGCCGTTTAGCTGAAAGCCAACCACAATGTACTTCACTTTGTTGCTGAAACTAGACATAATTAATGTAAGGAAACAACTGGCTCACGTGCAAATCCCCAAGCAAAAGGTAAACCCCTACCCCAAGGACTGATGAACAAAACGTAAAAAACCTGTCAATCCCCCACCCCACTGGAGAAGCAATCTCTTTCGAATTATCCCCTTCATTTCCCCGCTAAACCCTACCTTGTCTCGGGGTGGGGGGACTGGAGAGGGGGAGGGGGTTCATTGACTCCCGAGTTTCATACGCCAACATCTCACTGTAATTATTTTCCGTTTACTTCTGAGCTGGGCTCTATAGTAATATAACAGAAAACGAATACACATTAAATAGAAAAACACTAAGAAAACAAATAACATTAGAGACCGATTATTTTCTTCAGTAAGATTTGAGTAGAAAGTTTAAGAGATGAATGGCGCTTAAACTCGCTTCAGCACGGAAATATGCACGGAATGATGTATGGGCTCCTGCAGATATAAAGAAAGGGTCATCTTTTCATAATCTGCCGTCGATGGTTTAAAGGGATTGTAAACGTACTTAAAGGAAAAAGATAACCAGACTAAGTTTTCCACGTTTTGTTTTATTTTGAATGCAGGTTACGGTTTGCCCATTTTCGTAACAAATAGTTTTCGTGCGCAATATGTTGACATGTAACTCGAATAACACCTTGACGTTAGTTAACTGTTCTTTAACCTTGCTAGACAAATCTTAGAACAATTTAAAGTTTTGCTAGCTCCGCGGGAATAGTTATTAAAATCAAAACTAGTTGGTGGAGGAATACTTTCACTAAAATGTGACAGTGCATTCAGATTGCTATGAGGAATCAATTTATAGTGAAACTAATTCAGCAAAACGAGACTTCACCTAAGACTGATATTTTTTCTTGTTTTCGTAAGATTTGCATTAAGGACAAAAGCTGTGTAATGGGAGTTTTAAGAGGTGACTGTCCCTTAACCTCGCTTTAGCGTTGAAATATGCCGCTGCCAAGAAAAGATTAACTTTTCACGAAATCTCTCGTCGATTTTGTAAAGAGATTTATAGAGCCTAAACAAAAAAGGATGGTCGGAGAAAGCTTTCCACTTCTTTCTCTTTTGAATCCTGGTTTAAAGGTGTGTCTTTTTCCGTAGTAAGAAGTTGTCGTGCGCTGTGATGTTTACATAAATTCTGAAAACAAACTTGACATCAACTTACTTTTTTTTAAACCTCTTCGGGCATAACTTTGAATTTTACGTACTTGAAACTCCCAACAGGTCTAGCATTTTTAAGCGTTAAGCTGAAAAGCTGTATTGAAATTTTTAAGAGGTGACTCTCTCTTAACGTTGCTTGAGCGAAAAAATTCCGATGCCTGTAGAATCTGCATTCAAAAAATAAAACTGTAACTGAGACTGACTGTTTTTGTTCGTAATGTTTGGGTTAAATACATAATCTTTATTGGAAGTTTTAAGTGGCCGGACTAGCCCTTAACCTCACTTTAGCGCGGAAATATGCAAGTACATATGTCCAGTACGATCACCCTTTCACGAAATCTGTCCTCTGGAATATTTAAATTTGTTAAAGTGTTCCTGAACAATAAACAGTAGTCAGAGGAAGTTTTCCATTTTTTTTTTCTCTCCGTGTTTTTTTTTTCTACAAATTTACAGTGTATACACAACATAAAGAGACTGTAGACCAATTGTTTCGTGGGACAGAGTTGCGTTAAGCGCAGCATCTGTTTTCAGTTTTAAAGAGGTTGGAATGTTTTCCACACAATCTAACTTTAAAGGTTAATGTGCCTAAAAGAGAAAGAAAACATAGTTTTGGCATATATATATATATTTATATATTTTTTATTTTTTTGAACTTTTTTATAACTTTTTTGTTTCAGATCAGCAATTTCGTTTTTCTTTTTCTTTCCTTTTCTCAGTACTCAATCGTACGCAGTTTACCAAGCAGAAAAAGTTTTGAAATTGCTCAAGCAAAGTACACGTTCCCTATCATTTTATTATTCTTATTAAATACAATGCATTAGTCGGGTAAGATTGTTTATTTTAAATACTGAGAAGTTCATTGTCGTAAATAGTGACCTTACGGGGAACAGTCTGTAAATTCTATTGTTATTTTCTCTTGCTAAACTATTAAATAACATCTTAAGGAACTAATCTCACTGAGTAATGATAATATACCGCAGGTCTAAAGAAATTCAACGTTTATTTAGGATCCATGCACATATTTAGAGATATATCGCTAGAGACAAATCAAACAGTAACTCTAATAAGCTTACATTTTTTACTATAAATAACAAATGGTTGCACAAACAGATTCTGCCCCAGTGATTTTTGCCGATATTAAACGACACAGCCGAAGGTTTCACGTTTACATAAATGAAGGTTCGAGCTCATTTTAACCGTCTTACCTGACTACTAAAGTGATACAAGTGCTTAGTTATTGAGAATCGACAGAAATACAGGATTTTGTAGGATTTTGAGTTTCAAGTTATTTCGAAACTGACGGAGCAGCGCGAAGAGATGAATACGGATTTTCCGTGACCTGTTACTAAACTTACGGAGGCATCTCCATTTCGAAAATTATACAACGCCATGGACTCATAAGGAGTGAAAAGACTTGGTTATGGAACCGTTCAGTGCTATGAAAGTCCTCTGTTCTGAACGCATCGTTGAAACGCGAGTCTACCTCCAAGATTTTGGAGTTGTCTTAAGAGCATGCTCAACGGAAACCACAAGCGGCTTGCCGTAGAGGTTTCTCACGGGGCGTAAACAAACCAACTACGTAACAGAGAAGCCACGCGAACGACTTCGTAAACGACAAAAGCCATGCGAGAGAGAAACCTCTGCTCGCAGGGTATTTTCCAAACAAATCCTTGTGGATATTTTAATTTCAAACTGTCGAAAAACCTTTTCATTACGCATTACAGGCCTAAAATTTTCTTTAAGTCCATAACAGAAAAACACTCAAATGCCTCTAATTTCCTAACAGTTGCCGAAATGAAATAATCTCGGGCTAGGGAATCCCCAAGTACTGGCAACATCTGAGGGCTTTGGCCAGCTTTCCCAGGGTCAGGGGAATTTGGCAGTATTTGGAGTGAAGTTTCCAACAAATCCCCGCCTTTTCTTGTGGGGGTGGTGGTGGAGTTTACATTGCCCCCTGCTTAGCGGGTTATCAATAACAATAAAATTTAATAGCAACAACTATCCTTTTTTTAAAATCGAATTTGAAGGTGCAAGCAAATACAACCGTAGTCACATTTCTCACTCTTGGGTGACCGCAGTTGAAAATTGTTTCGAGGACAATAGTATTGTTCAACCCAATTCTATTTTAGGGCCGTTTAGCTGAAAGCCAACCACAATGTACTTCACTTTGTTGCTGAAACTAGATATAATTAATGTAAGGAAACAGCTGGCTCACGTATAAATCCCCAAGCAAAAGGTAAACCCCTACCGCGAGGACTGATGAACAAAACGTAAAAAAAATCTCAACCTCGTCCCTAAGTCTCAATCCCCTACCCCATTGGAGAAGCAATCTCTTTAAAATTATCTCCTTCATTTCCCCGCTAAACCATACCTTGTCTCAGGGTGGGGGGACTGGAGAGGGGGAGGAGGTTCATTGACTACCGAGTTTAATACGCCAACATCTCATTGTAATTATTTTCCGTTTACTACTGAGCTGGGCTCTATAGTACTAACACTAAACAAATACACATTAAATAGAAAAACACTAAGAAAAAAAATAACATCACAGACAGATTATTTTCTTGAGGAAGATTTGCTTAGAAAGTTCAAGGGGTGAATGGCCCCTAAACTCGCTTCAGCGCGGAAATATGCCCGTAATGATATGGGCTCCTGCAGGTACCAAGAAAGGGTCATCTTTTCATAATCTGCTCTCGATTGTTTAAGGGGGTTGTAACGTGCCTAAACGAAAAAGATAACCAGAATAAGTTTTCCACGTTTTGTTTTATTTTGAATCCTGAATTATTTTGAAGACTGATTTTTTTCTTGTTTTCGTAAGATTTGCATTAAGCCCAGAAGCTGTAATGGGAGTTTTAAGAGGTGACCGTCCCTTAACCTCGCTTTAGCGTTGAAATGTGCCGCTGCCAAGAAAGGATTAACTTTTCACGAAATCTGTCCTCGATTTTGCAAAGAGATTTAATATGCCTAAACAAAAAAAGAATGGTCACAGAAAGCTTTCCACTTCTTTTTCTTTTGAATCCTGGTTGAAAGGTGTGTCTATTTCCTTAGCAAGAAGTTGTAGTAAACCGTGATTTTTACATAAAATTCTGAAAACAAACCTGTCATCAACTTACTCTTTTTAAACCTCTTTAGGCATTACTTTCAATTTTACGTATTTGGAACTCCCAGCAGGTCTAGCATTTTTAATTAAAACTGTATAGGCTCCCTAAAAACTGACAAGGCGTTCTGTAGGACTAGCTTGTGGGAGTCTTTAAAATACTGTAGCTGAGGCGGATTGTTTTCTCTTGGAAGATTTGCGTGTATTGAGATTTTAAAGAGGTGACTCTCTCTTAACCTTGCTTGAGCAAAGAAATGCCGATGCCTGTAGAATCTGGATTCCAAAAATAAAACTGCAACTGAGACTGATTGCTTTTGTTCATAAGATTTGGGTTAAATACAAAATCTTTATTTTAAGCTTTAAGAGGCCGGACTAGCCCTTAACCTCGCTTTAGCGCAGAAATATGCAAATTCGTATGCTTAAGAAGATCGTCCTTTCACGAAATCTGTCCTCTCGATTATTTAAATGTGTTTAAGTGTTCCCGAACAATAAACAATAGTCAGGGGCAGTTTTCCATTTTTTTCACAAATTTACAGTGTATACACAACATAAAGAGACTGCAGACCAATTGTTTCGTGAGGGAGATTTGCGTTGAGACATGCCTTGTTAAGCTCAGAATCTGTTTTCAGTTTTAAAGAGGTTGGAATGTTTTTCACAAAATCTGACTTAAAAGGTTAATGTACCTAAAAAAATACAGCTTTGCATATATTATTATTATTATTATTATTATTATTATTATTATTATTATTATTATTATTATTATTATTATAACTTTTTAATAACTTTGTTTTCAGATCAGCAATTTTGTTCATTTTTGTTTTTCCTTTTTTTGGTACCAGGCTCAGGCAAAGTACACGTTCCCTATCGTTTTATTGTTTTGAATAAAATGAGTTTGTTTATTTTATATACTGAGAAGCTCATTGTCGTAAATAATGAGCTTACGGGGAACACTCTTTATAATTTAATTGTTATTTTCTCCTGCTTAATTATAAAATAACAACTGAAGGAGCTAATCTCACTACTCAGCGTTAAAACGACCGATTTGGATGAGATTAACGTACCTTTAACCTGCAATTAAAACCAGGTTTCAAATATTTTAAAATCCTTCTTACTCCAAAACAAGTAGACTTAAAATATAGCTTCAAAAGCACACCCACTAAGTATTTGCGGGAGAGGTGAGACACAGCAAGTGAAGCACAGTCAAAAGTGAAGACAATGCTGGCGAAGCAAGTCTTCGTTTACTTCGCTTTTCAGGTGCTATTTTTTCAGCTCACTAAAGGTAACTGTCTAAGCTATTGATTAATTCTTCACTACTGAATTCTTACAGTTTTTGCAAACGTAGAAACATTTTGTAAAATAACTTGACTATTCACGCTGGATTAAAAAAAAAGGTTCGGGGAGTGTCAAAAATGACTGCTAACCCACAAATTTAAGAAAGTAGGTGATAGGGAAAAAATTCCTAATGTTTTGTGTGTATCCGTTCTTAAATGCGAATGGAACGGTTTTTGTTAAGATCCATTTCCAGTTTGGAGTTACTTTAAGCGTACGTTTCACTTATGAATTTGGACATGATGGAATCGCTTGGAGTCAACATGGAGTGGTTACAGTTAGGTATATTGGTCTGTGCAATGAATGGATACAAGGTCGATGCAGGGAACGCATCATCATCATCATAATGTTTTACTTCAATATAATTAAACAGTATTTAACTTTAAAATACTTTTAACTTTTTTTGCATGTACGTTATTCAAGCGGTTGTATTTCGAGCTGGGAAGGTCAATATTTCCGACACATCCCAAAACAACCATGGCTGTCAGACCGTTTCTTTCAAAGCTCAGTTCCAGGGTTCGGGAGATATAAAGGTGTTTGCAACGCTGAGCCATGGAAGCGAACATGTCAAAATCCATGACCCAGCGTCTGTTTGGGTGAAGTCAGTGTCCACATCTGGTTTTGATGCTTGCGTTCGTGAAGCAGGCAGCGGTTCTGGAGGCGCGTCTGTAATCAACTGGCTTGCATTTCAAGGTTCACACCAAGGCATTGATTCAGGAATCGTTGAATTTGATGAATTCACCTCAAGGACCCGGTGCAAGAAGATATCGCTTAGTATTCAGAATAAGGTGAGATGGTAAAGTAGGTGGATTTAATCAGTCATTTGAACAAAGTTAAGGTGACAAACAGCCCATTCTTACTTGGCCAAAATTGATCCGGCATGGAAGAAGGGACCTAGCCTTCCCTCCTTGTAAGGGAATCCGGATTCCGGAATCCGGGAAAATTTTGGCTGTGGAATCCGGGATCCTTGGTTTTAGAATCCGTAATGCAAGTTCTACTGACAAGGTATTCGGAATTCAGCACCTGGAATCCGAAATCCGAGGCATAGAATCCACAATCCAAGACTGTCGTGGATTCCCTTACATGGGGCGACTAGCCTAAACGTAGAATCGAGTTTTCGGAAATCCCATACTTTTCTGTCGCTAACTATAATCGGAACTTTGAAGTGTAGTTACATCAACGTGATGGTAGAATCCTAGACCGTATATTTTCTTTTTCTTTCTAGATAATTGTTCTCTTGTTACTTTGTCTTACTTAGGGGAGACCCCAAGTGTTTGTGACTGTTCTACATAAACATTCCGACCGACCGTTTGACTCCATGAACATTTGGCTAGAAGACGTCAACACGGATAGTTTTGTGGTTTGCTTGAGGGAGTTTATGAGCTTCGACGGCAGCCATTCAGGTCTCAAAGTGGTAAGTTGAAATTAGAAAATTCACGAGTTCTCGTTAAACGAGAACTCTGAGGTGCACTAGCCTTTATTACTCTTTTCGCGAAATTATCGCTCTGGTTTTGCGTGAAAAAGAAGTCCACCTAGGGGTAACTCAAGGGTGTTCCAATGCATGAGGCATCACACACTACCATCAATAGCAAATTCTATATCCTGCTTCTTCTCCAAGTTGTATTACAAAAATTAACATATCAACAACCACAGTGACAACAAGGAAATCGATTCAGTGATTGCCTTAGGTGCTAGTATAATTTTATTAAGGTTAGATATGTGTACCCAATGCCTTTTACAATACCCCTATCTGTCGGATCTCCCTATCTCACTTAGACGAGCATGATCAAACAAATGTGTATAAATTTTTTTTTTTCAGAACTGGCTTGCGTATGATGTGCTCCCGGGGTCTTGGAATATTACTGAAAGAGGAAAGCTTCATTTTTCTGGACTTGGTGCACCAAAGAAAGAAAACAACTATGCTTTTTGTCAGGTTGGAAAGACCAACGGTCTTTTACATGTATTTGATGAGCCTCTGTTTAGTTTAGTTGAGCTCAAGGGAAAACGTGTATCGCCCATTTCCAAGAGACACTATAGCGGTCAACTTCAACTTTATTTGATAAAAATATTGATTACAATAGACTAGCCGGCAGAATAGTAATTGCTAATCTAGGCGGACCAGTTAAAAGAGAAATAAAGGGAAAGGAAAGGAAAGGAAGGAAACTATTTTAAGTTACAATAAATAATATTTCTATCATAGTTTTTATTTTAATTACATTAAGTCTACTAAGGAAAAACGAAAAAGGAATTGACGGAGTGCCAAGAAAAAAAAACAAACAAACAAATACTTTTGTACAGAAATCACTTAACTGTTAATCGAACTTTTTCAACCAACTTTTTATGAAGTCTCAATAAAGTCACCTTCTCTTTTTAAGATGTCGGAAAGCAATCTGTGAAGCACTTTCATAAATTTGTTTTTAGGAAGATCTCTAATATCACAAGGTATCTCATTCCAAAGTTTTACACCAAAACAAGGCAAGGAGTTTTTGTGTTTTTCCAGCTTTGAGCTTTTAACGTGAAAGTTACCTGAAGTAGATGATCTTGTATGGTATGAATGAATTGTTGAGGTTCTTTCAAATAAATTGAAGAGACTTGTTGGGGAATTGTTGCTGTCATTATCGTGCATTAGACTGGCCACGGTTTTATCAAACTAAATGACACTGGTAATATGTCAGCGTCGATAACTAGAGGAATTGCGTGTTCACGTATAACCGTAAAATACATCATGCGAAGCAATTTCTTCTGAAGAATTAGAATTTTATTGAGGAGAGTCTTGGATACCTGACCCTAGGCAGCAAGACCATAGTTTAGGTGAGGGTGGATTAATGTTTGGTAAATATATAACAATATATAACGAGTTATGGAGAGCCGAAGTTTTGAAATGGTCCAATAGTTTTACTGATTTTTGCCGTAATAGCGTCAATGTGATATTTCCAAGTAAGGTTTTTATCAACCAACACACCAAGATAGTTAATATAATTTTTGGACTCCAGAGTTACTTTTCCATTTTTGTCGTTATCGAACATGTGGAGACTCGGTTGGTAAGTGACTCTTTTTTTATAAGGGTGAAAGATTACAAAGTTAGTTTTTGTAGTATTGAGAGTTAATTTATTGGATGTTAGCCATTCGGTTTAGTAATTCAATTTACTATATCTTCTAGGGACTTAAAGTTTTTATCAGCATAAAGGATATTAGTATCATCTGCGAAGAGATAAAACTTAAGTTTATTCGAGCATTGATGTATGTCATTAATATACAATAAAAAAAGCAACGGGCCAAGGCCGGACAGATCCTTTGGGAATACCACAACTTACGTGTTCTTTGTTTAAAATGTACGGTCCGATTTGGGTAGATTGCACACGATTATTCAAATACGAGGAGAACCAGTCTTTAATAATTCCACGAAAACCATAGTGATAAAGTTTGTCAAGCAAAATGTTATGATCGACAGTATCAAAAGCTTTCTTGAGGTCTATGAAGACTCCACACGAGAAAAGACCTTGATTCATCACAGTTAGTTTGTATTGCGTTTACAATGTTTAATATTGCATGTTGAGTCGAGTGACCTTTACGAAAGCCATACTGGGAGGAATACAATAAATTATGTTTGTCAATATAATCTTTCATTCTGTTGTACATCATCTTTTCAAAAATTCTGTTAAAGTTAGATAATAAGGATATAGGTCTGTAGTTATTCGCACCATTATCTTTGCCACTCTTGAATATTGGAGTTATTTTGGACAATTTAAGTTTTGAAGGGTATTTTCTTAATGTTACTGAGATATTCAATATTTCTGATAGAATATATTAGGAGCTATGATACTACTTGCACACTTCAATAATTTTATGGGAGATGAATATAGACCATAAGACTTGTTGTTTGGTTTGGAGAGTATCTGAAAGTGCACTTCGTCGGACGTAACCGGTAAGACTGATAGAAAAGATGAAATTGGTGCTTTGCAATGACAAATGTAATTAAGATAATGTTTTGTGGCGTTGGAATTGTTCTAGCTAGCCTATTTCCCACAGAAGAAAAATGGTCATTAAGAATATTAGCAACCTGTGGAGGTTCTTTTACGATTTTGTTGCTCTTATTGATGTCCTTAATAGCAGTTACAATTTTGGTCTTCTTTCTGCGATACAAGACGTCATTTATTCTTTCCCATGTCTTTTTCATGTTCGTTTTGTGGCGTTCGAAATAATCCTGATAGTATATCTTTTTCCTAGACGTATATCTGGCTGCAAATTTTTTTTCTATAATATTTGTATTTGTCTTCGTCACCGGACACATGCAATTTGTTTTTAACCATAATGGACGCTTTTAATCCAGTAGTAATCCAAGGCTTAGAAAGCTGTTTGGCTTTACGCTTTGATAACTTTGTAATGGCAGCATGTTTATTTACAGTCTTATTAAATTTCTTATAAAAAGTTGAAGATAATTTGTCAGGATCAATTGAATGATTTATGAGGATACATTCCCAGGCAACTTCAGAGAGTTTCTTATTGAATTGGTCAGCGGAAAATTTAGAAAAATCGCATATTTTGGTGGTGTACGCTCAATAGATAGAATGATAGAAACAGCGGTGTGTTTCTATAATGAATGTACGGTTATCAGTGACAAAATAGGGTTTATCGTATCGTTGATCCTGATTTCTGTTGCACACTTGTGTTTGAATTGTCAAATAGTGCATCCACTAGCAGTCTTTATAAACCTTGATGTTGCACTATAATCTCTTTTATTTGTTTATTTTAGAAAACTTGCAAAACTTTCTTCTATTTGGAAATAAGAGAAAAAACACTTTTACGCATTATTACAAGAAAGTTATGTAGGAACTGTCTTACATAACAACAACAAACAAACAAACTGAACGTTATTGACAGCAATGAAAGCTATAGCACATACACACTACCTACATTTAGCAAAAGCTATGGGAGGCAGGTAGTGTACATGAACTGATGCATTTTAAGATATTTTTAATGTTGAAACAAGAAAAATACAGAAAGATCTTTGAATTACAATAGTTACTCTTAAACCGAGGTCGGAATAAGAAGGTGATAAGCTTTGAATAATGCTTTATCAATGCATGTTTTGTGTAATTTTTTTTTCAGGATTATAAATTCCAAAATCCATTTTACGAGCCTCCTAGTGTCCTCGCGTCTGCCAGACATGAGAACGTTACCAGTGTTCTGTGGATGAAGGCTGATGGTCGTTTTGGCAATGCTTTAAATGCTTGGATAGAGGTAAGTAGTTTCCTAGACCATATACAGCCATGTAACTTTCCTTATTTATTGAAACTGATGTTATAGAGTTCTTTTTCAAGTGCCTCCACACTCCGAGTAAGTGAGTAAAAATGAATTAAGGGCTCGAAGTGGCTGCAACGCTCTTATATTTGACTAGAATTAAATTCCTCAGTCACTACTGTCATTTCAACATCGGTTTTGTACCGAGCAATTTTTAATTTTTTTTTTTCAATTTCAAATGTGGGCAAGAAAAAGAGTGGCGAATAAAAGGACTTCATTCAATTTCATTAAAATTGAGTCAGTCGAAAAAATTGGCTTAGATAATTCTAAAAAGTTTTTTCTGCACATACTTTTCTTGCGTATGGATTTTTTACCCCACAAAAGAAATACCCACGCCTTAAAAATCTAGGAACAAGGAACCTACTTTTAAAGACGCAGAAAGCCCCACTTTTTTTTTCCATCTTACTTGGATAGACTATGGAAATTTTTGAAGTGCTAGATACTTAGTTATAAGTTTAATATTTAGTTCATTGTTTAGGAATTCTATAAATTTTTTTTGTAACTTTGAACTTTGACTGGAGTAGAAAATTGATCGAACTGAACAGTATTTCTTGCTAAATTTGTAGCAGTTGTACCTGAATGAATGTGTTGTCTTCTAGGAAATCACTCGTTTGTCTTTCAAAGTGTGCATCAAGGACAGCCAGGGAATAAGCAAGTCTCACGATCCAGTTACAGTGGACTATGCAATTATGGGAGGTAATTTGTTGTTTCCATGGCATGCAAAAAAAGGAAAACTTTAGTTAAGATAAGAAGCAGTTTCAAAATCGAAGAAAGAAAATAAAAACAAGAAAGATAAGTTTTTGGACATACACACATGTAGGGAAGGTCTTAAAAATGCATTGTCTTCTGTAATTCTTCTGACTTAAGTCTAGCCCTGCATGCCGAATGGAGTAATATTTTTCCGAAAAATGTATTATTTTTAGCCCTTTATGCTTCAGGAAGATTTCTGATAGGAGTTTAGAAGAAAAATTGGTTAAATTCCTGTCGTACGAAGTGATTTTGTATTTTTTCTCAAAGATATTGACCCGTGCACAAATGTTACTTGCGAGTACCATGCTATCTGCAAAGCTTTCTCTGCATTTGATGCCCGTTGTGTTTGTGATGACAACTGCCCGTCGTACGAAGAGCCTGTGTGTTCATCTAACTCGACAACATTCAAGAACAAGTGCTTTTGTCTGCTGGACATTTGCAAACGCAAAAGTAACCACACGCTTTATCATCCTGGCAGCTGTACCGGTAAAATTTCTTACACTTTTTTACTTTACTTCTTTGTTGCCAGCTAAAAAGCATGAGACGATCTATTAGGCCTGAGTCAGGATTAAGTATTGCTTTTGTTTCCGCTCTCTCAGCGCATGTCCCTCTTGCTCCCTCCACACACATACTCCCCATCACCATAGATGAATTGATAGAGAAATTCATACCGGCTTTTTCTATAATTAGCTCATGATGTCACTTTTGTTTACTTTGTTAATTTGGTAATCTAATTTGCTGGATGCGAGCTACCTGGATGTATCACTTTAAAGGGCATTTAATCCTGGCATTGTAGCAAAAACTCTTTCTTGTTCCTCCATCCTCATTTGTTTTAACTCTTCGCATTTGTATACTTCTTTAGGCTTTCCAGTTCAGACCGGGCGGGTTTCACTCAAAAGACGTGTAAGATCGGCTGAGACGGCCTGTAAAGTGGTGAAATTTCCACCATTCTCCTTCTATCCAGACAAAGAAGTACACGTACAAATAACGACCAATCACTGGAACATCAGCAGGAAAAATTTTATACACGATGCCACAGTTTCATGGGTGCACACCGTTAACTACGAAAATTTTGAGGTGAAAGTTAAAAATAATGTTTTAGTTTATCCTAATAGACAGCGGTCTACCAAGTGGTAATAGTTTGTAACTCGGTAGGATTCAAAGATTTCCATACTCGGCTTGTATGTTTTTATTTCTCTTAACCTTTTTATTGACGATTTGTAAAAAATTCATTTACTGTTCCTTAACTGCTGACGTAATTGCTGTTAAATTACTGTTCTTTAATTCCTGTCTTTCTTCGACAATTTCATAACTTGTACTACTTTTATCATTTTAATTTTGCTCATTCTGTATGTCTTGTTTATTCTGAAAAATTAACATTATATAACATGCAAAACTTGGCATCAGATTTTTCCCTTATATGTATTTATGTGTGATTAATCTATCAAAAAACTGCTCGAAATATCGGTGCGCTATTTGACTCGTCACTTTCCATGGAAGAACATATCAAAGGTTCCTGTAAATCTGCTTTCTTCCATTTAAGTAACATAGCTCGAATACGAAAGCACTTGCTAGCACAAGCAGCAGAGACCTTGATCCATTCCCTTGTGACCTCAAAAGTTGATTTCTGCAATTCACTTCGTTATGGTGTACCTAATCAACTGATGCAAAAACTCCAAAGCATTCAAAACTCAGCGGCCAGGCTATTAACTTATACCAACAAGCGGGAACACATTAAACCTGTGATAAAACAGTTTCACTGGCTACCTGTTGAGTTCAGGGTCCCATATAAAATCCTACTCAGGACTTTTGAATGTTTAAATGACACTGCTCTTGCTTATCTTAAAGATTTAATTCACCTGTCTACGCCAAACTGCAGTCTGAGATGAAACTCGAAAAACTACTTAGCTCATGAGCAATACCACCTGAAAAGTTATGGTCCAGTTAGAGCCTTCACAATTGCAGCACCCATTCTCTGGAATGCACTCTCAGATGGGCTCAGAGACCATTCAAATTTTCTATATCTTCTTATAAGAAATAAAATAAAAACACATTTATTTAAAATAGCTTTTTAACATGTGAATTTTCTATTACTGATTTAATTATTCTTTTCTTTTTTTAAGAATTCCTTATTTTATTGTGAAGCGCTAATTAACTCTACGGAATTAGCGCTATATAAGTGTTACTTAGATACAGATAAAATCTCAATCAACCAAATAAGTGTTGAATTGTATCTTAAGGTCTGCGTGACAGCAGCAGGAAGAAATGACCGCTCTATCCAAGAATTTGCCACCGTGGACTGGATGGCTTACCAAGGAGCACCTGATGGTGGTGTGGCAGGAAAATCACGCATTTCGCAATGGTGGACTGGATCACAGTGTAAAGAAGTTAACCTTCCTCAGGTAATTGTCTATTTTTTCTGGAAGTGCACTTGGAGATTGTTTATTGTTATTATTATTATTATTATTATTTGGGGGGGGGGGCGGTAGACATGGCGAGATATTAATTGACATTATGGAGGGTGGAGGAAGGAAAAAAGGTAAGATTTTTAGATGCTTGAAAAAAAGTTTGAAGTGAATAATTGCTAATAAAAGACCGATCCATCAGGCCCTGCTCCCCAGGGAGCTTATTCGCAGGCTAAACCCCTTGAAACTGCGAAAACAATCATTCATTCATGCACTAGATTTTGTATACATGGCAAATGTTCGTCTTCTGCCAAGGCGGTTATAAAGCATAAACCAACAGAAACTGAAACTATGAAACAAAACAGACAAAACCGACCTTATACATTTGAAGGTTAAACTCGTGGCGGCCAGAAGCTTAACCACCACTACGAACATGCAGATCGTGTTTCATTTTTTATTCTGAACTTTTTGTTTTGGATATGTTCTTAAGAAATTAACAATATTAATAAGTCTGGAGATACGACTCACCTTTGTGATTTGCATTAATGATTGCTTCACAGGGAAAGTTTGCTACTGCGCCAACAGTCCTGGTTACAGCAGAACATATTAGTGCAGCCTTCAAACATGATGCCGCCAGTTTGTGGGTGGAGAACGCAACCAGTTCCTCCTTTTACATTTGTCTTCGTGAACTGCAGAATTATGATGGTCTACATGAGGATATCTTTGTGGTAGTTTGATTGTTATCATTTTTCTGAGGGATGCACATTAAGAACCGTAGAAATAAAAAGCACATGTCAAAAAGTTTTAACGAAACGTATGTAAAAGAGAAAATAATATATATAAAAAAGAAACTTCACATTGTAGCAAATGGTGGTGATGAACATTTCTCAAGTAGTCTAAAAACAGTGAGTATACATATCATAACATATCAGGACTGGTAAATTTCGTCCCGGAATAGCGTTTACCATTTAAACAAGTCAGTTCCATTTTCCGAAAAACGGCCGCAAAGGCCTGAAACTTGTATCAAAGATGGCTTTGAAGAAATGGCAAACGAATTTCCGTTTGGAGCATTCCGTCCGCAAAAACAAGTCTTCCTTTTCAGATGTTCCTTTGCCACCGCAAATTTTCCGCTGGAACAATCCATGGAGTCGTGATCCATTTACTTTCCAACCGAATTTTCCGAAAACGTTTTTGTAAATGGTTAACAACTAAGGTCAACTCCAGCCTCGTTTCGACTAGTGTAACTGTACAATTGACTATTAACGAGACGGCGTCTAACATAATGACTGGTTTTTGAATTAAGAACAGCATTTCCGTATATATTACTAGATATATACCATCAGAAGATTCCTTTGAAACCCAATCACTCTCCACTGCTGAACATTACTTTTTCAGAATTGGATGGTCTTTGAATCAATCCACCGGCCCCTTTTTGCCGAGAGCAAACAAGTGCATTTCCCAAACAACAACCCTGTTTCTGCGAACAACAATGGTGCGTTTTGTAAGGTAGGAAACACTTGAAAGCGAAAACTAGCTCTGTGATTATTAAAGCTTGTGCAGTGAAATGTTAGCTGGTAGTCAGCAACTCCGTTTTCTTGTTTCTTTTTGTTGTTGTTGCTGTTTTTTTCTTGCTGCATCTGACTGTGAAACGCCTTAAGCAATCTCGGCCATGATCCTTTGACAAGCCTTGTGTTCTGAAGAAATTTTTCAGAAATAGGAACCGGGTAACGGAACGTAGTTTCACCTAATTTCTTGTTAAAAGAGGTGTTTTTCCACTCCCTCCACTATCTTCACGGCAGCACTACGCTAGAAAAACATTGGATAGGTTTTGACACTTACTCCTTACGCAGTATGAATTAAAAACAAATTGTGTGCGTTGAATTTAATTTACTTTATATTAATAGCCTACATTTTCTACCCCAAGGTCGTGCAATTTGCTAGAAATTACGACAAAGAACCCATAGTAGTGATAGCAGCCAGTCACAACTCAGAGGGCAACAACCTAAAACCAATACACATGTCTGTTGCTGCTTGGGTTGAGGTAAAGTACGACGGGAATGTTGTAAAGTCATATAATAAAAAGGTCAGAAGCAAAAGAAGACTTCTTTTTTATGTCAAGAAGTGAAAAGATCTATGTGGAAGTTGATTAGGCCCTGTTAAAGCGCCACATTCCACATGTGCCGAGCCTACCGTAAATTAGCTAGAACGATATATCCTCCTCATTGGCCGCTTAAATTTAATGCAAAAGAAATGCGACGTTTAAACCGGGCCTAAAACAATGTACACGGCAATATTTACATAAAGGACCACTCCGCCGAACTTGAAAGTTTAAAATTATTAATTACTTCTAAAACATCTTGCTTTTTGGGCTATTTTTTTGTACACTTTTCTTAAGTTCTGAAGTCAAAATTAATTTACACTTTTAATCAAATTCTATTTCCAGA